TGGTAACATTTTTATAATGTGATGACATAACCTGCCTCATAACATCGTTAATAAAACTGGTTTTCAGACAGGACTGAACCGTGTGTGTGTGTGTGTGTGTGTGTGTGTGTGTGTGTGTGTGTGTGTGTGTGTGTGTGTGTGTGTGTGTTTTTTTTTGTTTGTAGCAGTTTTATAAGAGGTTTACACACTTTTGTGCTCCCATAAAGCTAGGAGTGAAATATGACAGTGTTTTTCAATGACTGAGTTACCGTGCCCCCTGCACCTTACTGTCATTATCTTTATTGCTGAGGGACCCATCTCTGTGTGTCATGATGTCCATATGCTACAAGTAAAGTTACATAATTTCCTTGAAGGAGGAGTGAAACTTGCACGTCAAGTTTATTTCCTAAGTTAAAAATTGCTGCATCCCAAGCGATAAACAGTCCTGGGCTTTAACCGTATGTCTCTTCAGCAAACCTCTGGGGCTTGGGGAAATGTTGATGTTATTCTCCAGGCTTCAAATGTTGCTTCCTCTTTTTTCTCCCTGCCAACACTCTTATCAAAGCCCTCTTTTTTAAGGATTGTAGAGGATTTAATTCAGGCCACATGGATGGAAAGTTCCTGGCAAGTTCCATTGTGCCCTGTGGTGCCCCAATTTGAGCTGCTTTGGATTAAACCATTATTAGCCAAAAATGGAGCATTATACTGAAATGGGATTGTCTGACAGTCAGAGCATGGTCAGACTCCACCAGTTTTGTTAGCAGCTGTAAAGTATGCAAAGTCCCTATTATCTGGAAACTGCCACTGGGAATTCCACATTCATGTGTCACCAAAACCATAGCTGCTTGAATGTCTCTATTCCTATATTCCTAGACTGCTCAAATGCAGCCCATGCTGCTCCTTAGGAAAGCTTCTCTGAGTGCTTATGTCCATCCAGGTGTGCGTGCGCTGCATGCACAAGTTCCGGAAGCTTTTTGCCCTTAGTAGTACCTATTGGGCTATCCAGTGAGCCCCTTGGAGTGGCGCCACTATATCGACCCATATATACTCCTGCTGGCCCACCATCCCCTCAGTTCCTTCTTACCACTCCTGATGGTTGCTGGATGTAGCAAGTGCGCCCTTGGCCCTTTCTTTTCTTAATCACCTGTGAATAGTTCAGTCTTCTGTAAATAGTGTTAGTAGTTGTTCATTCATATTTTAGTATTGAGTTAGAATTTGCACCTCATTCCCACCTTAGGGGGAATGCCAGGGTCCCATGGCTTCAAACCTTGCGCGTGGGGCCAGAAGCACATGCCGTGTGGGGACCCACACAAAGAGTGCCTTAAGTGCCTCGGAGATGGACATTTGACCGACTCCTGCAAGATCTGCAGGTCATTCAAGCCTAGGACCAAACGAGTGCAATTCTAATGGAGTTAGTACTCCAAGCTGGCACTGGGCCCTGCACCATTCATGAGTAGTGTGCTGGCATTAGTGTGAGGCAGCTGCCACACTAGGGCTCTCTGTGGCGTCAGGCTGCTTGACAGCACTGTGGCACCAGTCCCAGGTATCGAGGATGTCCAAGAAGATGTGTCAGGGAAGAGCTCCATCAAGACAGGAGCATGGGGTGTGTCTGCGGGGGGGACACCCGAAGTCTCCGTCCTCGCACTGGCGCGACGTTGCTCCTATGCTGCATAGGCAGATGTTGAGCTTTGTGCCGGGCAAATTAGTCGAAACAATAGTAAAGAATAAAATTGTGAAGTATGTAGAAGAACATAATTTGTTGGACAAAAGTCAACATGGTTTCTGTAAAGGGAAATCCTGTCTTACTAATCTATTAGAGTTTTTTTAAGGGGTTAACAAACATGCGGACAAGGGGGATCCAGTAGATATAGTATACTTGGATTTTCAGAAAGCCTTTGACAAGGTTCCTCACCAAAGGCTCCTGTGTAAATTACATGGCCTGGGATAAAAGGGGGAAGGTCCTTTCTTGGATTGAGAACTGGTTAAAAGACAGGAAACAAAGGGTAGGAATAAATGGTAAATTTTCAGAATGGAGAGGGGTAACTAGTGTGTCCCCCAAGGGTCAGTCCTGGGACCAATCCTTTTCAACTTATTCATAAATGATCTGGAGAAAGGGGTAAGCAGTGAGGTAGTAAAGTTTGCAGATGATACCAAACTGTTTAGGATAGTCAAGACAGAAGCAGACTGTGAGGGACTCCAAGAAGATCTCACCAAACTGAGTGACTGGGCAACAAAATGGCAAATGAAATTTAATGTGGATAAATGCAAAGTAATGCACATCGGGAAAAATAACCCCAACTATACGTACAGTATGATGGGGGCTAATTTGGCTACAACAAATCAGGAAAGAGATCTTGGAGTTATCGTGGACAGTTCTCTGAAAACTTCCACACAGAGTGCAGCGGCGGTCAAAAAGGCAAATAGGATGCTAGGAATGATTAAGAAGGGATAGAAAATAAGAGCCAGAATATCTTACTGCCCCTGTATAAAACTATGGTACGCCCACATCTTGAATACTGTGTACAGATGTGGTCTCCTCACCTCAAAAAAGATATTTTGGCCTTGGAAAGGGTTCAGAAAAGGGCAACTAAAATGATTAGGGGTTTGGAACGGGTCCCATATGAGGAGAGGTTAAAGCGACTGGAGGTATATAAAATCATGAGTGGTGTGGAGAGGGCCGATAAAGAAAAGTTATTTATTAGTTCCCTAAATAGAAGAACTAGAGGACACCAAATGAAATTAATGGGTAGCAGGTTTAAAACTAATACAAGAAAGTTCTTCTTCACACAGCGTGTAGTCGACCTGTGGAACTCCTTGCCAGAGGAGGCTGTGAAGGCTAGGACTATAACAGAGTTTAAAGAGAAGCTAAATAATTTCATGGAGGTTAGGTCCATAAAAGGCTATTAGCCAGGGGATAAAATGGTGTCCTTGGCCTCTGTTTGTCAGAGGCTGGAGAAGGATGGCAGGAGACAAATCGCTTGATCATTGTTTTCGGTCCACTCTCTCTGGTGCACCTGGTGCTGGCCACTGTCGGCAGACAGGATACTGGGGTAGAAGGACCTTTGGGTCTGACCCAGTACGGCCGTTCTTATGTACTGCTATTTAGACAAGAAAATTATGAAGACTACCTAGTTAATAGTAAAAAACTAAATCAAACTTTAATGTTAAGAACTAGCACTACCATTTAATATTAATAAACCACTTTTGAAAAATCAAGCCCGGATGTGGTCTAATTCACCCATGTTATTTATTGGGTGAAAGCTATGGCATGTGTTAATAAGCAGGTCAGACTTCTGGCCGTAAATCTATACACCTCTCCTGGCAACACACGACACTGCATAGGAAAAATCCAGTAAAAAATGCACACATAGATGTGAAAATGTCATTATTATAATTTAGAGCAGTATTTCTCAAAAGGTGCAGTAAAGAGGAGCCACCTACAGCCCTCTTGCATTTTTTTTTCCAGAGTCTCACCTTAAAAAAAAAAAAAAAAAAATTGGCTGGTCTGACTGAAGAACACATTCACTCTATGCCCTTCAGTCTACAAGCTGCCACTAACTTAACTATTTCACTGCTGAAAGTACAAAAAGTAGATCTTCATAAAACAGATGTGAGGGGAAGGAAGAGCCTGTGATGATACATAAATGAAAATGTCTAACACCACATAGTATTAAAGGATCAGTTGTGACTAGTTTTATTTTCCTGTTTTTGAGAGGGATGTTGCAGAGCTTCCAAGAGTCTGGGAAAACACTAGTTTAGAAAAAGCGATTCACTCCCGATTCAATAAATACTGATCAAATGCCTTTTTTAGTATTTCACAGTTCTAAATTTACAAATCTACTCTGGTTCCAAAACTTATTTATACAATAGCTAACTGCACAAATAATTAAGTCTAACTTCTTTACAATGAAAATGATCCTCAAATTTCTTTTTCTTTTTTTTTTTTTTTTTAAACTCAGAGGTGCACTGGAAGCTTACGTTCAGTCGGTAAGAAGTAGAGAAGGAAAGGAGTTTGCACCGGTCTATCCCATAATGGTTCAACTGCTGAAGAAAGCAATGTCTACACTTCAGTAACAGCATACAGCCCAAATGCTGTTGAAATTCTATATTGCAATTGGGCACTGAGAGATGAATGCTTATTGGGTTAATATAATTATTTTCAGATATGCTATCATTTTCACACATGTGATCAGAAAAAGCCCTGTCTAATAAAGATTCTCACATCTTTTCTTTGTACTCTATATTCTTCAACTTTTGGCTAAACAGTAGGAAATGTTTTATTATAATAGAATAATATAATTTCAAACAAACTATTTTTGTTTCACTACAAAGAAAATATTTTCAAATAATATTTGCTTAATACTTTCTAATATCCTTTCTGAATTTAGAAGGTAAAATAAAAAATTAGGACTTGCACAAATGTTCTATATGCTTTAGTAAATGAATTCTTATAAATGATACCTACACATTTAGCTATTTTCCTGAAAATGGCACAATAAAGAGCTTGATTAAATATTAGTGTTTTGCAGAAAGGTGGCATTTTTTTATAATGTTAAAATGAAGGGGTTTAAATTCCAGCAGAGTTAGATTGTTTGATGTCTAATATTCCATGTAAAAAGCACTAAGTTTATCACAAGAAAAACATTCACCTTTACAAAATAAAGTAATTTGATTCTCAGCAGCATCTTAGAACTTTGAAGTAATACTCATTTTGACTTTCTATCTTTTTTGTTTCAAATACAATAAAGAGCATCTACTGTCTTTTGATCTTGAATTCAACATTTAACATTTGATGAGTGGTTTCCTAATTACAAAAATGCATCAAAAATACTTACACAAAATATGCAGTTAAAATATTCTACACATTTGGTTCTTTATAAAATTACACTACACAAATCTTTATAAAGATTTGCAATAAGTAAAATGTGTATTTCTGCAGAACTGATTTAATGACTAGTTTTCTTTAGTTTATAAAAAAAAAATACCCACCACCAAGAAGTTTTACAAATTTATTTGAAATAATACAAGAATATAGTGTGCAAAAATTTTAGGGGCAACATCCTGTAGACACGTGTCAAACAATTAATTTACAGTTTGTGATTCTTTAAAAAGAAACACACTGCTTGTTTAGTAACATGAAAAGCCATGATTGTAAAAGTTTACAGCAAAAGCAGCTGTAATTCTAATGTATCTGGTCTAATTTTAGACAGTTGGAGGAAAAAAGTAAAGTGCAAGTGTTGCACCTACATAAGTGCAAAGTTTGCCCCCACCATAAAGACATCTTATGGCAAAATAAAATATAATCATAGAATATGTGGCAGAAAAGACAAAACACAAAGTTCAAAATACAATGGTGATAATTATAATTTGCAATATTTTCTTGAGATAATGCAATGCTATGAATTCATTTAATCCTTGCCCAGGCCATTATTTCCATTGGAAATAATAGCTCAGAGTACTGTCAGCCGGTGCAAAAACATCACACCGTGGATATAAATTTTACATGTGGCACCCCACCAAGCAACTCTCTTGCTACATTACACTACACTGTCCACTTACCACACAATTCGGCAGCTTGTTGGCACAGGGCAGACTGGGAGTTTGCAGGTTGGTGCTAGGGCTTTTTGCCATTTCAGGAAATCCCAGCTCCCAGAATTGTAATTAATTACATGGCTTGTGCAATACATATTAATCAGCAATAGAAATCAATGTATAAACAGCTGTTACATATTTTAAAATTCCCCTTTTTTGTACATTTTTAAAAAATAAAACATTTATACACATCTCCTCTTTTTCCTAATTTACTTAGCACCACAGGATAGCCATTTTCAAGCCTATATTACCTGATAGATGTATATGAAGTTTGGAAGAAAAATAAGGCAATTTGGTTTATGATGTTGACAGTTTTAGCATACTTAATGCTCTATTGTAAAAAAGCAAATTCTCATTCCCATTAAATCAATTTCTGACTTGATAATGCCAGTATTTTGTGGTCTCACAAATTCACAACTGGTAAGACCTTGATCTTCATAAGTCTCTCCATCAAGTGTCTGTCAGCCATTAAGAACAGTAAAATTCTGATTTAATGTTGCTGTGAGCCCTGTAAAAACATTAACAAAAAAGAAACCAGTTAGCAATTACAAAGGAAAGAGAAACACAGATGCAGTAGTAGGAGATGTGAAAAGGATGTATTTACAGAATTTACAAAAGTATTCACAGTTGCTAATTAAAGTGCATGCAAAAAATAACATGCTCACACTCCAGTGGTCGCAAAATGAACTAGCAATTACCTCTATTCCTTGACTAACAAGTGAAGCCAAATAATTATTTGGAGAGGTCTCTGAATCACTTGTTTGCTCACTGAACCTCAAGTGAAGTGTACCAAGCACACACAGCACTAGCTTTGTCATGGAGGTAATGTCCATAACTACTGTATCTATACACCCAAAAAGAGTTAACAGGGAAAATCTCAATACAGAGGGGGCTAAGTCCAAGTTCTCCCTCTTACTGAGGCTAAGCCAAGACTTGCTGAAATGTTGCTGCAAATACCCAGGTGCAACTGAGTTTAATTTGGTCTTCATGTCTATGACTAGGGTATGTACACTAAGCTGCCTTACTGGCACAGGGGCTCTCACACTGGCTGTGTCTAGACTGCACCCCTTTTGCGGAAAAGGGATGCAGATTAGACACAGCGCAATTGCAAATGAAACAGGGATTTAAATCTCCCCCGCTTCATTTGCATGAAACATGGCTGCCGCTTTTTTCCGGCTCGGGGCTTTGCTGGCAAAAAGCGCCAGTCTAGATGGGGATCTTTCGGAAAATAAACCCTTTTCCGAAAGATCCCTTATTCCTCTTAAAATCAGGAATAAGGGATCTTTCGGAAAAGGCTTTATTTTCCAAAAGATCCCCGTCTAGACTGGCGCTTTTTGCCGGCAAAGCTCCGAGCCGGAAAAAAGCGGCAGCCATGTTCATGCAAATGAAGCGGGGGAGATTTAAATCCCCGCTTCATTTGCAATTGCGCTGTGTCTAATCTGCATCCCTTTTCCGCAAAAGGGGTGCAGTCTAGACACAGCCACTTAGTCTCAAGACCACATAATTGGGAAAACACAGTTACTGAATAGAAGCCATTAATAAGACTACACTGGCTTAGTGCAAGCTTAAATAACTGGGTTTGCACATGCAACAGACGTTTTACTGCCTTACTACACAGTTTCTAATGTCGAGTCTGTTGTTGTAGAGTTGCATAGAAAGAGACGAGCAGTCAGCTGGGTGGTGCCATTTAGGATTTGGTGGTGCTTTGTGCTGCTCAGGGACCAAAGGCTCTGCTATGTCCAGTGCAACCACGGTTTGGCTAAGCCCTAAAGCAACACCTGCACATCTCATTTGCACTCAAGTTGAAATCAGTGCAGACTCCATGCTCTTTGAAAATAGTCTCACTGCACAGACAGGTGGAATACATGTGGGCTTTTGAGGAGAAACATGAGAGTGGGTGACTATGGAAGTCACAAAGGCATCCGCTTTGCAGCAAGCCAATAACCCCATGTCATCCCCTTAGAATACACTGTGACTGCAACTGTCCAACAGCAGGACAAAGGCAATAGAGCAATCGTCACCAACTTGTCAGTCATGATCAACTGGTTAATCCTGCAGACTCTCAGCTGATTGCGATGTCCTGTGATGCAGAAGGGCTGGGAGGCTTCCTGCCTGCCTTGGCCCCATGCTGCTCCCAGAAATGGCCAGCATGCTCCTGCAGTTGGGGGGAACCAGAGCTTTCTGTGCATTGTTCCTGCTTACACCGTAGCTCCCACTGGCTGAGATCAGGGAATTGGAGCCAATGGGAGCTGCAGGGGTGGTGCTCACAGAGAGGGGGCAATATGCAGAGCCACAGGGGCATGCTGGCCCCTTCTGGGAGCTGTCTGGGACTGCCTAAAGTGCCACCCCCTTCAACAGGCAGGTTCTGCTGCAGCACTAAGACCAGGAGTAGCATGAGTTCAGCAGCCGCAGCTATGCTAGACCAGCATTTCTCTTTCACCACTCAATCTGCAGCCTCTGAGAGCCAGGCCCCTTCTTGCATCTCAAGCTCCTGCCCCAGCCCTGAAACCCCTCCCAGAGCCAGAACCTGGTACCACCTCCTGTATTCCATATTCCTTCCTACACCTTACACTGCATGTGACAGCGCAGACCCCCCGCTTCTGCACCTCAACCCAGAGTCCCCCTGCACTCAAACTCTCCTAAAGCCTAGGCCACTCAGCCCCACTGCAGCCAATCCCCCCAGGACAGCCTGTTCCAGCCCCCAATATTTGCCCTGTTCCCAGTGCCAGCCCTGCCCCTCTAACTGCACCTCCAAAGCCCCCCATCCTGGATGTCACAGTGCCACTCTGTGTCAGCCCCTCCCCCCCGCCTCTTAAAGCCACCCACATGTGCAGCAGGAGGGTTGCGTGGTGCCCACAGCATGCCAAGCCCTTGCAGAATGCCGCAGCAGCCAGGCACTATGTGGCGCTTGGCCCCAGCTGAGCACCGTGGCAGCACTGTGCCAGGGCCAAGTGCCGTGTGGAGCCCAGCTGCTGCGGGGGGCAGCTCAAGCCAAGCACCACATGGAGCCCAGCTGCAGCAGCAACCAGGCCCCTGCTGAGCACCGCTGAGCGTTGCAGCTGCCCATCATACAACCCCACCAGGGAGGCCACATAGCAGCCATCAGAGAACCAGGGGCATGGTGAGGCTGCCCTAGTAGAGCGAGCCTGGGACAGCCTCACTGTGGCACCAGCTCAAGCTGCAGCACACCTGGTTGTCTGCTGGGCCACTCATCCCACTGCTGCAAGAGGAACCCCAGCTGACAGGCTCCACCGGGGACTAGTGGTTGGGAACCACTGGGCTAGTGCAATAAAGGAGTGCATAAGCCTATGAACTTATTTTTAACTATGTAACACAGTTGCACGGTGACAGAAACATACTGAATTTGTTCGTTTCCGTTTCCAACAGTCAGGATTTAAACGTTTTTGTTCTTCAGCCAAAGCCTTGGCTTCTAGTGTGTACATCCGTCTTTCCTCATTCTTCATTTTCTTCCACCTGTCACCAAGTATCACACTTATGGCCCTGCAAAATAAATGTTTATAGAATGGTCAAAGCAGGAAGTTCTTATAAATTCCATAACATCTCTTGTCTCTTGTAAAAGCCTGCCATCAGAAGGACATGTTAGATGTGACAGCACACAAGGCATCAACAATTTCCTCTTCACAGTGTGTGAGCATGTGTCTGACTATTCTATACTCGCTGAATAGTCACAAGAAAGACCCCCAACAATTTTTAAAGTAAAGCCAGACGAGCATATTTTGACATTTAAAAGTAAATTTGGACATCAGATGACTATAATCTAACAAAGTGGGAAAGTTAAGAGTTTTGTTGGTCATCGTGTAGCTATCACCCTTTACGTAGAACCACACCATATTTACTTAATTGTTCTCTGTCACCTCATTTTATGGGATGATGATATGACAGCACTTGCTGAAAAGATGCTGCTTCATAATTAGGGTGTTGATTATGCAGCAACCCAACAAAAGATTTTGTTTAATGAAAACTCATGAGAGTTGGCTTCCATCTGGTTGATGGACTGGCCTACTGTGGAGATGTGTTCAGAGTTCTCCACTATTAGCCTTTGTGGTGACAGGAGGGGCAGTCCAGACTGTTGGATTCTTGAATAAATTCTGTGCTGAACAGCAATAAGGGACTGTTTGTTTTGACTCACCCCTTGATTATTCCCTGAACATTAATGTGAAAAAAATCTAATCTAACTTCCCCTTAACAGGCCTGTACAGTATCTCTCCTCTTTGTGCCATATGGCTTACCTGCTTTCCAAAATGGCAGTGATTAGATGTTTAGACAAAATACAATTCAGAGCCTCACCATTTTATTAAGTTCTCTTTAAAATTACAGTGAATGTTTTAATTAATGATTCATGAAAACACTAGACAAGTGATATCCCCCCTCAAATTATTGAATAAATCAATGAAAATTTTGTTACCAATCTTTAAGGAAAACATACTTACAGAGCACCATAAGAGGCTCACTGTAAGCTGTGCAGTTTACAGACTCCCTAATAGAATCAGGTAAAGCATAGTCACATTAAACTCTTCTGGATATTTTCACATATCTCTGTTCAGAAGAAATTTCTTCTGCTCCCCACCAACAAGGAGACAAACGAATTGTGAAAGGCTCAACCACAGCCAAACTCCTCTGGGTTACGAAGTACTCAGGAAGCTCAATTTAATCTCTATGTACACTGTATTGTGAAATGCTTTGAAAACTCTTAAGATCAAAGGCTCCTATGTTAGTCTGTCTCTAGTAAATCCACACAGGTAGGTCAATTTGGGTACGTCTAGACTACATGCCTCTGGCGACAGAGGCATGTAGATTAGGCTACCCGGCATAGGAAAAGTTGTTACGATTGTTTCTATAGATACATGCATTCGGGTAGATAGAGAGAACATTTCAGTTTCAAGAGATGGTCCAACTGAAACAAAAGCTTTGCCTCAGGATACATCTACCAAGCAACATTATTTCAAAATAATTAGCATTACTTCAAAATAACTACACAGAAGGCAGTTATTTCAAAATAATGTTGAAATACTGTCAAGCTGGAGGACTTCATACTCTGACTCCTGTAAACCTCATTGTACGAGGAGAGTGAGGGAAGTCGAAGGAAGAGTGCTCTATTTCAAAATAAGTGTTGTGTAGACGCTCCCAATTTTGAAATAAGCTATTTTGAGCTTATTGGGCAAATAAGTAGCATAATTTGTGTTGCTTATTTGAGTTAAGCCCTGCTGTGTAGACAGACCCTCAGACTGCCAACATTTAGGGTATATCTAGACGACCACAGTTTTTTCGAAAAAACTGCCCTTTTTTCAAAAAAAACTTCACCTGCGTCCACACTACAATCGCATTCATTCGAAATTAAATTGAAAAAAACACAGGGGGTTTTTCGACATTGGTAATAATCAAATTACGAGGAAGAACGCATTTTCAAAAGAGCTCTTTCAAAAAAAGATGTGTGTGGATGCAGAACAGGGACATTTTTTGAAAGACAAGGCAATCGAAAAAAGCACAGGTGCCCTTGGTGGCCATTCTGTGAACAGCAATCAGGGCTTTCTTTTGTGAGAGTGTCCATGCAGTCTAGATGCTCTCTTTCGAAAAGGCAGATCACTTTTTCGATTTGGTTTTGAGGTGTAGATGCTCTCTTTCAAAAGAAGCTTGTAGTCTAGACATACCCTTAGTACTGGTACATCATCAAATGCTATGGAGTGAGAACACTGTGACTCAGCTAAATGAAGACTTTGCTTAAGGGTGTCACCTCAAGCTATTGTGCTGCCTACCACAGATACTGAAGATCTGTATTAGGGATGTAAAAGATTAGTCTACTATCTGATAAGCATAGGGGAGCAGGAGCCGGTGTTGGGGGAAGCCAGCTTAAAAGCCAGTTCCCCCAGCACTGTCTTCGTGGTGCCGCTTGCTCCCACCCACCACGCACTGCTGCCTGGCTGCTGGACCCAGTGTGAGTCAGGACTGAGCAAGCTTGGCTCAGCCCCGGCTTGTGCCAGGTCCAGGAGTTAGCCCTACTGCAGTTCTGCAGTTTAAATGTAGGAGGAGCCAGGCTGCCTGCACACCCAGCTCTTACTACATTTGAACTGCAGAGCTGCAGTGAGGGTAGCTCCTTCTGACCACCTTCCTTTATTGATTAATCATGTAGTCAATACAAACTATAGCCACTACATGATTACCCACTTACCTACCTCTTAACATCCTTAATCCGTATTTGCCCCAATGTATGGGAAGCATGCCACATAAATACTCATTAATTAGAGCAAATGGAGATTGCTGAACCAGCATTAACACTCATCAGCCAGACAGAGTTCAAAGCAGTAAACCAGTTTAAGTTATTTCCTGTTTCAGTTACTGTCCTCTCCTGCAGCTGAAGCTGTAAAATGCAACTCAACTAGAAAACTGATTTACAAACAGGGACCTTGTCACTAAATACAGGTGTAGCTATTAGGCAATGGGACAGGGGCCATTTACACCGCAAACACATGGAAACGTGCATGGGTGAGCAACCTGACATTACTCATGCTGTGTCAGATCATTTTATTAAACTGAATAAAATTGCTGCTTACACATATTTAACAACCCAGGCATGACTACTGAATATTAATATGCAACAAAATTATATGATCATATTACTTGCTTATTCTGTTGGTCTAGGTATACTTGGTTCAGCCTCAGGGACACACTAGATGACCTGGGGAAGTATGGGGCTGATGCTAGTAGTTTGTCACACTTTTTGCTAAACCAAAGGTTACTGGCATGACGGCTACTGTTTTTGTTTCTGGTAGTTACAAGGTAAAGAGTGATAAACTTATTAAACCTTTCTCAATAGTTTTTAAATGTGTACGGAGAGACCCTATCAAGTACTCTCATGCCTAAGACACCTGATACAGGCAGTCCCCGGGTTACGTCAGTCCGACTTAAATTGGACCCCTAATTACGAACCTGGGAAGGGGGGGCAGGACCCCGCTAGTGCGGGGTGCCTCCCCCACTGTCGCCGCCTCCGGCGGCGCGGGGGCGCTTCCCCCCAGCAGACCAGGGAGACACGGAGCTAGCGCCCCCCCCTCAGCAGACCAGGGAGACGCGGAGAGGCTGTTTTCCCCCGCGGCGGAGGGGGGGGGG